AAGCCTGTCAGAACCAGATGTGTGCTTGTGAGTATATACAGGGCATATGCACACACAGCTGCGGTGCACGCTCAAGGGTCAGTGGTTTGAGGAGAAAAGATGATAGCCGAGTTCACTGAGTGTTTGCCTCAGTGCTATGCTGAGGACTTTACAGTTATTGGCTCCTTCATGTCCTCTTCACTTGGGGTCTTCAATTGGCAGAAGACACAGAAAATAGAGGCTGAGAGAAACTGGCCAAAGCCACACACCCACTGACAGGCAGAATGGGGATTTGAATCCAGAACTTGTTTACTCCAAGGCCTGTGCATCTAGTTCCCTGGCCAAGCCGACTGCATGTCTCCAGAACCCAGCCCTGTTTCCCACCCACCCCCGACCGCTCCATGCCCTCCAGCCTCACCCTCCTGGCTATGCGTGGGTTTTCTGGGTTGTCCTTCACAGAAATGGTCAGCTTGTACTCTGGGATCCGCTCACGGTCCAGGGGCCGGTTCACGGTGACAATCCCTGTCTGGGATATGGAGGGCTGGTGAGTTGAGCAGTGACCCCTTCCCTCATTTGGGCTCTGACCCATAGATGCCCAACTGCTCTGGCTGCAGCTCCAGGAATGGCTGTGAATTCCCTCTCTAAATCACCAAAGGAATGGTCTAGAAAGCTAAATAGAGCTGGCAGGGTCTTGCCAGAGCAAGAGTAACCCACCAATGCCTAGGCGTTGCTCCCTCAACGGATGGATCCTATAAGGACCCCATGATGCCAGCAGCCAGTAACTCTCCAAGAGGTCAAGTGAGGACTTCCTGGGGAATCCTGTTATAAACCAAGTGGCACCAAAGCTCTGGCCCCATCTGTGTACATGAAAAGCCTTGGGGGGTGACGGGGACCTCAGAGATGGTTCAGCTGTGAATCCAGGATTCCATGCTTCCCATGGAGATCCTAGTCCCAGTGGAGGGAGGAGGCTTTAGGGGGTGATGCAACCAGAAAGAGCCCAGCCGGTGGAGTAGAAATGCCTCTAGGTCAGGGACCTCTTTTTCAGAAAGAGCCCTGGGGGCCTCCCTTGGGTCAGTCCCAGCCCTACCGTGGCATTGATGGCGAAGGCCCGCTCCCGGTTGCCTGCAGTGATGTTGAAGGTGAGGAGCGCGTTGCACCCGCTGTCAGCATCACTGGCCAGAATGTGGGTGACAAAGCTGGAGACAGGGCTATTCTCACTGATGGTGACGTTCATGAAAACAGCACAGGGTCATTGTCGTTGATATCCAGCACCCGGATCCCCACCAGCATCTGGGGCATGTCGGGGGGCAGGAGGAAGGTGAGGTGAAGGAGGGGACAAGGAGAAAAAGGGACACGGAGGAGACAGAGGAGAAAGAGAAGGAAGAAAAAGTGATGGTGGACATGGTAGCTGAGGAGGAGATGATGGTTGAGACAGGGCAGGATGGAAAAGGGGTGGTACTTGAGGAAGGAAGGTGCAGTTGATCATGGAGATCAAAAGGAAGAAGAAGAAAATGATAATGAAAAAGGCAAGAGAATGAAAATGAAGATAAGGGGGAAGCCGAAAAGGTAAAGAGGCAGAGGCGGGGCAGAGGCGAGCTGGAAATGGCAGAGTGACAGGGGCCGAGGCCCGCTGACAAGGCAGCTTCCCCAGAAAGCTGCTGTTGGGGGGGCCAGCTCTGAGTGGGCATGGCTGCCAGGCCCCAGGTCCAGCCTCCATAGGTGAGCCCCAAGAGGCACTTGCAAGTCTGTTAGAGGCCCTGAGGGCCTGGACTGGCTCCAGAGCAGTACGTACCCTCTCTGGGCATGAAGGTAGCAGTGTTTACAGGAGTTTCTATGGAGAGTTCAGGAGGCTGCAAGGTAAAGCCAGTAGAATGGGGCATCCGGACTCACCGTGGAGCTGAGCGGGGGCACCCCCCTGTCACGGGCACAGATGGTCAGGTTATAGAAGGCAATGGTTTCCCGGTCCAGCTCCACATCCTTCCGGACTCGAAGCACGCCTTCCACAGGAGAGATCAAAAACTCCCCTGGGTGCCACCCAGGAGAGGCCAGAGTTAGCTGGGAATTGCCAAGAGTGGTGGAGCGCCCAGGGCTCTCCCCACTTTCTCTAGCAAGCCTTATTTGCCAGGGGTGGGGGACAGCTGGAATGTGGGTCCTCCGATGCCCTCAGCTTCAGATCCTCATGGTACCTGCCAGGTCTGAGAATTGCAGGAGGGAGAGGACCAGATCACTGCTGGGGTGCTGGTATGCATGGGCCCGCTCGTGCCCTGATGTGTCCGAGATGCCAGGCCAGTCTCCTTCCCTGCTCGTGGGCAGACTAGGGACTGACTCTGGGTAAGATGGCCATGGTGAAAAAGTGGGATTCAGTAAAGTTGCGGCATACAAACTTAATATACAAAAACCTGTTGCGTTCCTAGACACTAATGATGAGCTCCCAGAAAGAGAAATTAAGAAAACAATCTCATTTACAATTGCATCAAAAAGAATAAAATACCTATGAATAAATTCAACTGAGGTGAAAGACCTGTACACTGAAAACTATAAGACATTAATGAAAGAAATGGAGACACAAATAAATGAAAAGATATTTTGTGGATTAGAAAAAGTAGAGTTGTTAAAATGTCTATACTATCCAAAGCAATCTACAGATTCAGTACAATCCCTATCAAAATTCCAATGGCATTTTTCACAGAAATAGAACAAACAATCCTAAAATGTGTATGGAAGAACAAAAAACAACAACTAGCCAAAGCGATCTTGAGAAAGAACAAAGATGGAGGCATCGCACTCTCTGATTTCAAACTGTATTACAAAGCTATAGTAATCGAAACAGTTTGGTTTTAGCATAAAAACAGATGTGGATCAGTGGAACTGAATAGAGAGCCCAGAAATAACTCCACGCACATATGGTTAATTAATTTACTACATAGGAGCCAAGAACACACAATGAAGAAAGGACAGTTTCCAATAAATGGTGTTAGGAAAACTGAACGGCCACATGTAAAAGCATGAAACGGGACCACTATCTTTCACCATACATAAACATTAACTCAAAATGGATTAAAGAATGGAATGTAAGACCTAACATCATAAAACTCCTAGAAGAAAACAAAGACAGTAAGATCCTTGACATTGGTCTTGGTGATGAGTTTTTGAATTTGATATCAAAAGTAAAGGCAGGAAAGGCAAAAACAAACAAGTGGGACTACATCAAACTAAAAAGCTTTTGCACAGCAAAGGAAGCCATCAACAAAATGAAAAGGCAACCGACTGAATGGGAGAAAATATTTGCAAATCATATATCTGATAAGGGGTGAATATCCAGAAAATATATAGAACTTGTACAACACAATAGCACAAACAAACAAACAAACAGACAGACAGAAAATGAAATGAGAGTCCAGAGAAGGGTGATGACTTGTCTAAGTGCCTCCAGCAAGTTAATGACAGATCAAGATTGACCTAGGTCTCTGGGTCTCAGCCTGCTACATCCCATGGGACTTGTGGTCTTTCCAGACAATACCACTCAGAACTGAGCTAGGTGGGAGATGTGGGAGGGAGGGGTGAGAACGAGGAGAGAGTAGAGGAGAAGAGTGAGGGGCAAGAAGCTAGTGGAGCAAGTGGGAGTCCAGTTGGATAGGGGAAGAAAGGGTAGGCTGAGCTAGGGAGGTGGGGAGAGCCTGAGGAAGAGGGTTTACCTATATGCAGTCCCCAAAGGACCGGGAACAGGGAGATAGTTATTACTTCCTTCACTTTCCCCTTTGACACCTGGTGGAAAAGGCCCAGAATGGGGCACTGACTGCTCAGGAACACAGCAGGTGAGGGCACAGCAAGGACAGAGGTCTGAGCTCTCCAAAAGTTCTCTCTGCCTACCCGCTCACATCCTACTTCACCACTCCCTGCCCCAGCTCCTACTGCTCTGATTTACAAAAACAGCCGCTCCAAGGCCCACCTGCAGCTGGGATTTCCCACCAGCTCTTCTACTCCCAGCAGCCCCGCAGGCTGCTCGAAGCAGGATTTCCTAAGCCTGATACTCCAAGGTCTCCAAAGAACTAGGGAATCCCTTTCTAGGGGTTTCCAAGCCCTATCTCAGTCCCCGGCCATGTGCAAGTGGGTGGCCTCCTGCCCTCTCTCTAAAGCCAGTCTCCCACTTGAAAGAAGGGAAGAGGTTCTGAAGGATCAAGAGAGCAGGCTGGGTCCAGGCTAGACCTCCACAAGGTCAGCTTGATGCGGGGGGTGGGGTGGGGGGGTGCGGGTGGGGGTGGAGGGGGGCGGGGAGTGCATAGACTAAAGGGCCCCATGCTGCAAATTATCCTCCTTGGCAGCTTGCCCTGGGGCCTGAACTTCCTACTACCCTACTTCTCCTGGACGTAGGGGGTTAAAGGCAGAGGCTTTCCATCCAGTCACACCAGGTCTGCATTCTGAGTTCATTCCTCTGTGCTCTTGGGCATGTTAACTGAGACGTGTCTTGTTCTCAGCTGAAAAATGAGATAATAAAGAGATACCACCATGGGATTGTGCTGGTGGTGGACAAAGCCTGGTCCGCCTTGTGTGTTATAGATCCACGGCAGCTCTTGGTATAAGCAGAGGGATCCTGAAAGGGAGTCCAGGCAGCCCTCTCAAGGAACAGGGGGCTTTCAGGGAGGATGAAGATGTAAGAAAGGGGCCCAAGGAGTGGGTGTGACCAGAAGGGGTAGCTGAGAAGGCTGAGGATGGCAGGAGAGGCTCAAGCAGATATGGCCTGTTTCCCAACTGTTTTCTTCCTCAGCTTAGTAGGGCTGGTGTGAGCCCGTTACCCTGACATCTCCCCACTGACAGGCATGCCCTCCAGGATCAGTCTGCTCTTCCTTCTTGTGGGGAGGGAGCTCTGGCAGGCCAGGTCAGCCCAAGGAAAATTCCAGGTCTCTCTCACTTCCCCAGTGAGTTGCCACTCAGTCTCCTGGGATATTCCACAAGGCCCCAAAATTCCTAAGGCTAACCCCCAATCACATGTGGATTTAACCCCAGACGTTCTGCTCATGACTCCAAGGCCCACGGCGAGGAGCAGCCTGTGGTTTGCTGGGGCACTGCTATGAGCCCTGCATCCTGAAGCTAGGTACAGAGAGGGCTGCTTATTGGAAGAGGGCTCAGCTGCCCACCCAGCACCCAGCACCCACCTCTCAATCAGGTTTTTTTGGCATTCTCCTGAATAGGAACAGGACTCCCTGACATTATAAAACCTCCATGTTTGTGAAAATAGCAGAGGAGAAAGACCCTCGCTTTGCTGGGTTCCGAGCGGGAAGGCGCAGTGCTTGGACAGAGAGACTTTTGAGACATGGAAGGGTGGCATGTCAGAGCAGAGTGACACACCGTAAGTTCTGGTTGGTGGGGGATCCTGGCATGGCCCTACAGAGTGGGTTTGTATTTTAGCCCCTTAATTGCAAATTTACCCCAGGTTCTCAGTTCCAGCCTTGAACGACTCTCCAAAATAACCTCTCTCGGGCCCAGACCTCTCTTCTGAACTCCTGGCTTGTACATCCACCCGCTACCCAACACCTCAAACCTCACCTCCCCTTTTCCTCACACCTGCTCCTGCCTCAGCCTTTTCATCTGTTACCGCAACTCCCCCTCTCCAGTCGCTCAGGCCAAAACCTTGGTGTCATCCTTGACTTCCTCTCACATACCACATCCAATCAGTCACCATATCTGTTGGCTCCACCTTTGAAATATACCAGAGCTCACCACCTTTCACCCTCTGTGGTGCCACCACCCTGGTTGTGGCTACACCATCTCCAGCCTGAGTGACTGCAATAGGCACCTTCCTTGTCTCCCCATTCCTAATCCTTAACTTCTATGGTCTGGCCTGAGCACAAGAACTGGAGTGGTCCTATTAAAACCTATGTCAAACCGTATCCCTCCTCTGGTCCAAGCCCTCCTGTGGTTCCCACATCACTCGGAGCAAAAGCCAAATCCCAATAATGGCCCACAGGGCCTAACATCATCTAGCCCCTCTACCTCGCTTATCTCATCTCTCCTTACTTGTCCCCTGGCTCAACTTCTTGTCAGCCATAGGGCCTTTTTGCTTGCTGTCAGGCGCATTCTAACCTCAGGGCCTTTGAAGTTGCTGTTCCCTCTGCCTGGGGTACTCTTCCCCAGACGGCCACATGACCCACTCCTCACTTCCTCTAGGTCTTTGCTCAAATGTTACCTCCTTGGACAGGTCTTCCTTGAGCACCCTTTCTAGCACTGCAGCCTTCGCCCTGGCACTCCCCATCTCCCAGCTTTATATTTCCCCAAAGCACTTAGCACCTCCCAATATACTGTCATGTACTTAATCAGTTATGCTCATTGCCTGTGTCCTCCAACTGGAGCACATGCTCTATAAGGGCAGAGATTTGAGTCTGTTTTGTAGCATTCTGTATTCTCGGCATCTGGAGTGTGATTGATTTATGGTAGGTGCTCAATAACTGTCACACAATCAATTAAAAATCAGGATGATCCACGATTTAAATTTCCAAATTTTTCTACTTTTAAAAATGCGAAAGTATGGCACTCCTGGGCCTGCATTTCGACATGGCTGCCACTAGCAGGAGCTGAGTTGTAGCTGCAACAGCCCCCACTGTTCCCGCTTGTCTTGCCTCGATCCCTTCACCCATGTGTATTTCCTGAGTGACCCCAGTAGGCCTTTGAGTTTGGAATCCCTACTCTATAGAAATGAATGACAACTGACTTGAGAGAATTGGCTCTGGCCATAAACCCCAGTCTTTAACGGAGGAGAATGCCAAGGTAGTTGTGAAGGCTACTAATGGGTGATGAGATGTGCAGAGAAATCCCAGGGATGAATGTGTGCAGCTGAGGGATCCCGAGGGGCAAGGATGTTCGTCCTTCCTCCGCTCTGGAGCCTTTCTCTGGGTATGACACAGGGGCATTTTCTATTGATTCTCCAAGGGGTCTGTGACCCTCCGAGGCTACCAGCCTCTGTTCCCAGATTTCAGAGTGTTCTCCTCATATCCATGTAAGGAAGGTTATTTTCATCATCTTATGGGTGGGGAAACCGAAGCCCAGAAAGGGCAAGATCACATAGTGGTGGGGCTCCCTGCCTTGAGGCCTCCTTTCTCATTCTGCTCCTGAGTGAGAGTGAGGGGGTGGGGTCACAAGGCCCTCAGATTGGGGTCACAAGGCCCTCAGTGTGCTGTCCCCACTGCCCAGCTCGGGCCCCACTCACCCAGAGGGTCTCCGTCCACGATGCTGTACTCCACCTGCCCATTGGGGCCTGAGTCCTGGTCATGGGCCAGGAAGGTCCACACTCTGGGCCCTGGTTGGCCCTCAGTGACATCGAATGGCCCTTCATAGTCTCGGGGGAAGGTGGGCACGTTGTCATTGATGTCATTCACATTCACGAGCACCTGAGATGGTGGACAAGTTTAGCTGGGGCTGACCCCAGTCAGCCCTGTGCTGGGCCCAGATCCCTCATCTGGAAACTGGACCCAATAATCCTGCCTCATGGGGCTGATGCAAGAGTCGTATGGGATAAGGGATGTGGGAGGGCCTTTTAAGCTTTGCATAGATGAGTTATTGTTATTGTCAAAGCCCTTTTTTAGGCATAATCATATTATTGATAACAGTGCTGTGAACTTCTATTCATTACTATACTGTGATGATTTTACATGGTCTCATTTGGTCTTCCCACACACTGCAATAGTTTTTATTATCTCCCTTTCTGTAGAGCAGGAAAGTGAAGCTCAGGAAGGTTAAGTGACTTGCCCAGAGTCACACAGCAAAAAAGTGGAAGATCAGGGATATGAACCCCTGTCAATTTGACCAGAGTTTGTGATCTTCCCATGGAGGAGAGGAAGGCGGGTATCATGGTCTGATAGGTACAGCCACACGAAATGGTGTAGTAAACCCCTCAAAGTCATACGACAAGTTTGGGTGGGTTGCCACGACCAGGACAGGGCTCTTGGATTTAGGTGTTCCTCTTGGACAGCCCTTCTTCCCTCCTTCCCCATTGGAGCTTTCTGGGCTTCATACTCCCCTCACCCCCAAGTTGGGGCTCTGTCCCACCCACCGTGGTTGTGGAGGTGAGGCGGCGTGACAAGATGGGGCACTGGTCTGTGGCAGTAACGATCAGGGTGTATCGGCCATGGCTGATCTCGTAGTCCAGCTCCTTGGCAGCACTGATGACGCCCTGGGGGATATATAGAAGGCACAAGGGCGGATCGATGGGTGTTGTGTCTGGACTACCCTGGGGATCAGCTCCTTCATAAAGCACCCTCTGACTACCCTAGGAAGTAGGCCCTGACATCTTGGCTATGAAAGGGAACACTTATTCCCACCCCACCCAAGCCTTTTATCCTCCTGCACTGGCTGCCCCACAGTTTCCACCCAGAGTCCATCTTTGCTCTGCCCCTACCCCCATCCCTGGCATGTCACTGAGTTCCCCTCCAATTCCTTCAGCAAGTCGACCCTCCTCTTGGGCCCCACCATCAGCTGCTGACCGTGTGTCTGTCCATATGGAAGGTGTTGACGATGTTGCCCGCAACGATGGCGTAGGTAACTGTGCCATTGGGCCCCTCATCCAGGTCCAGCGCCTGGATAGTGATGAGGCTGGCGTTGATTGTGTCCGGGCCCTCATCTAGTAAGATCTCATAGTGGGGCTGCTGGAACACGGGTGCGTTGTCATTCTCATCCACAATAGTCACATACACGTGCGTGGTGGCCTGTGGAAAAGAATGTGGCCAGGTTTCTTGGTCAGCTGGCTAGAGAGGTTGAAGTGGAGCCAGCTGTATATTCTACTAGGCTGAACTCACAGTGTGATCCAAATGGTGAGGGAAAGGGAGAAGGATAAGATGGAGGGAAGTCACAGGCTGGAGGAAATCACAGAGACTCCACCATAAGCTAAGCTAAGTAACTGCTTAGGTCCAAGATGGCATTTGCACCACCGCTCCTTTGTCCATGCCCATGGCAGACATCACTGATCAATCATGGCACTGCTGAGGCCCGATGCAAGCCCAGCATCCTTGGCAGCTCAGTGACCTAGGGATTAAAATTGGTATATAAGATGAACCTCAGTAACCACCACCGTAGTTTTGCCTGAGCCAGAACCTTACTGACCCTGGGCCTCCATCCAGATCACAAAAGGCAAGAATGTGATGTAGTCAACCCAATACAGTATTTAAACTTCAGCCATTGTTCAGGTAAATGTAAGAAATGCCTATGTTCAGGATTCTAAAGGAGGAAGACATTTGGGGCAATTTCATGGGAAGAATTTGTTGAGTGGTGAAAAACATGCTTACAGAACATGCTTCACTGAAAGAACAGTTTCTACAACATGTTTCCTGTGACTGGCCATTTTTGGCTAATGATTGGTCCAATTGGATCACATGTAATATTTAGCCAACTGGAACTCAGTGATTAGCACCATAGAGAAATGGCTACTGTGGCACTTCACAAGCAGAGTAGCTAAATGAGAGAAAGAAGTTAGCTATGTGCTGGTATTCTTTGTCCCTTGCCTCATCCCCTTCCCGCCTCCAATTCTCTGCTTCTCCACCTGAGCGGGTGTCCCCCCCGTGGACTACCTCACCTGGGCTCCCTTAACATTTGGCTTCCAGATGGGTTTGACCAATGGGAGGTCCTGACAGAAGACGGGAGGAGTAAGGAGAGAGAAGTGGGGTGTTTATTTCCCATTCCTTCCTTTCCTCACTGTAGTTCTGCCCATGGCTGTGTTTGTCCTGCTGGGTAGCCCCCATTCATAGCTCCAGCTCTCACTAGGCTCTGGTCACCTCACCTCCTCTTCTTGTCCTTTTGGATACGTGGGTGGCAATGGCTTCCTGCAGTTGCTAGTCTGAGAGTGCTTTGCCAGCTCTCTGTAAACAGGCCCTCCATTAAACTATCTTTGGTTGAGCCCTGACTGTGCCATATCTTTACTGCCAGGACACTAATACAAACCATTCGTCAGCACAAGAGCACTACCTTGGAGGAAAGGGGCTGGATTTCAGCCTCGCTGCTGGGGGCGGCCGTGTTGACATTTCTCCACTTTTCCAGACTCCTGGAAGTGGGTCTAACAATCTTTCAAGCTGCAGGGGCTGGGAGTGGGGGATTCTAAAGGAGCTGCCCCATGGTGCCTGTTCTGAGGCCAGGCCTGAGCTTGGGAAGGGAAGGGTGAGTCTGACTTCCTCTGGCCTCTGGGTTAGGAGGAAGTCGGTGCCCCGAAGGTCCTCCCAGTTGAGCCCTTCCTGCCCTAGCATTGAGAAAATAGTGCTTGAGGTTTCTGAACCATGCCCACAGCTTAGGCAATGCCTCTATGTCTCACCCTGCTGCAAACTCAGAAAACTCAGCAGGTGAGAAGTGTGGTGGGGAGGAAGGACCGAGAAGGGAATGTCCCGTCACCGGCTGGCTCAAGTGTTCTAGCCCTCTGGGGGAAGGGCTTGGTAGGGCGGTTGCTTTCCTCTCCCTAATCCCGGGCTCCCTTCACCCACCTTCTAGGCCCTGGGGCAGAGAAAATCTGTTTTCAAGGGTGGTTTGGGCAAGGCCAGGCCAGGGAGGGATGGAGGGTGGGGGTCAGGTGCTCCAGGGTCCTACCACTGAAGGACCCTGCCTCTGCCAGAGGATGGCCACGGTGGAAAGAGGGCCTAGTACCCACCTGATTTCAGTTGGCTCCGGACTTTCTCTGGGTGAAAGAACTCATATTCTGCTAGTAGGAAGGGCCCTGGCTGTTTCTGAAGTAGGGTTATAAGGTCAGGTTCATAACTGAGGACCTAGGTTCTATCCTGGCAGTCGCTAGGGCTCCCATTCCAGGGTTTTTCTGACTCCAGGGGGACTGGGCCTGCACAAGATCATCTAATAATAGTATGACATCCATTCTTCCTCTTTTGTGGCCTTTCCTGCCCCAGGAGAGAGGGCTGAAAGCTCTTACAGAGCCTCTGATTTAGATCAGGGCACCCACTTGGGCATCCAGAATTCCTGGCTACCCTTGAGTCCCACTGCTCTGATTCTTGACCCAGATGAACTCTGTCTGTCCTCTGTCCTTAAGCCTGGGGGTTGCCTATAAGCTCAAGATCCCTAATGAGTGCTGTAGGCAGGAAAAAAAAAAAAAAATCCCTAATGGGTCAGCAAAGCTCCTGGAAGCTTCAGCCAGGCTGAAGTAAACTGATACAATGGCTGTGCCCTTTCTCCTCCTAATCCCTGGCCCTGGCCATTGTCATCTCTATTCCTCCATTTAGGAAATCACTTACTCACTTATTCATCAGTTTACCCATTCAGATAAGAGTGCATTAAACATCTTCTCTATGCCCAGTTTTGTGCCAGGGACTCAGAAACATCAGGTAGAGGCCCTCATCCCCAAAAGCTCATGATCTAGCTCAGAAGGGCAGATGAGACCAGATGAGATCAACTGTTGGTAACCACAGACCTAATGTGATAGCTGAAGGGCTGTGGACAGTAAAGACTGGAGGGGGGACTCTCAGGGGAAGTTCAGGGTACATTGCGAAGGGGAAAGACTTGAATTGAGCTCTGATGAAAAGAATTTGGAGGTAGATATCACCAGTGGCGCCAGTGTGCTGAATGAGTTGCAAGAGCAGGGCACTAGTGGTTAGGGTACATGCAAGTGGTCCTGAGGATGTCCAGGCACAGGGAGTGAGATGGTGCAAAGCAGGAAGGGAAGCGGGGCCCAGGGAGAGAGGAGCACTGATGATTTTCTATGGGACACACTACCAGATGTTATGTACACACACGTGTGTCCCAGTGTAGGGATATGCCAAGCCTGTTGTGTATTCCTGCCCCTGTGTCACATCTGTGTGCAGTGTGCATGTGCATAAGGGTGTTGCAAGCTCAGGAATCTACAGTCAAGCCTGCTCCAACATACCTAGCTCTTTACAAAAGTTAGATTTCTTTCATTCATTCATTCCAAAACTGGGCGTGTCTACTACATATCAGGCCCTGGGCTGGGCTGAAGGATGTAGGGTACCAGCCCCTGCCCCCACACAACTTAAAGGCTGGTGAGTGAGGGCAGACATAATCCACAATGACTATGTGTCCTGCTAAGTTACAGGTGGATACACTTCTCAGATTGTGTGACAATACTAATCCTCTCCAAACAGGAATGGAGGAGAGTAGAAAAGGGTTTCAAGTGGAGATCAAGTGGAGCTGACTCACTGGGACACTGGCTGGCTCCCCCGTGGTGCGAGTCAGTGGGAAGCCCCTCCCTCGAGCCCTTGGAGCAGCAGTGCTTCCCACGGCCTCCTGGGGGAGCTGCGGCGGGTGGTGCTGCAGAGCAGGCGGCTCTCGGGCGCCAGCTGCTTTCACTTGCTTGCTCCGTACTCACTTCACTCACTCGGCGGGAGGTTTCCTAGCTGGCGGCGTCTGTCTACTCCCTGCGTACCAGGTGTCCCCCTGCGTGTCCCGAAGCTCTGCTCCTACAGGGCTGCACCAGACGCCTTTCTGCTCGACAGCAAAATGGGCGTCCCCCCAGTCCCGGAGGCCAACGGCCTGCGCTGGGGGCCTGTGCTCCTCGCTGTCTTCCTGGCTGCCTCCCGAGGTAAGGTCGAGGGAGCCTGGACCCTGGAGCAGAGCACCAGGCGAACACAGCGGGTGGGGTGGGGGCGGGTCACAGGCCGGATGAGCACCCTAGGAGCCCCCTCCAGCCTACTGTGACCCCCACCCCGTAGCAGGGAGGCTGCTGGGACCACTTGGCAGGGGGCAGCAGTGTCTGTGCCAAGTGCCCTGGCTGGCGGTGGGCGCATATCTATGCTGACAGCTGTCCAAACAGCTGCCTATCTGTCTCTTCCCCGCCCAGAGAGCCCAGGGCACCAGTAGCTTTGGCGGAACAGGAGATGGACATGGTGGGGACAGCCCCAGTGTGTTCTAGTAGATGCCACTGGCTTTTGACACCTGTGGCATCTCCCTGCCCCTCCTGCCTCCGGGTTCCAGGATCTCATAGGGTGCAGGGGGTGTGGTACTCTCAGCCTGTGTCCTGTCCCTTGATGACATTCCTGGTTCAACATTAGTGGGCACTGGTCCACACCCAGATGTGGGCACCCATCTTGTCCTTATCCTGAGGGTCTGATGGCTGAGTTGAATAGTTAGCTGATTCCTGGCATCCCAGAGAAGCTCAGCTCAGGGACTGGTGTGGGGTGCGGGGTGCGGGGGAGTTGGATGCGGGACATTTTCCTAGCTTGGCCTTGAGCACCTTCTGGGTCCGTTGGATAACTTATGGCATCTGACTTCAGTTTCCTCAGCTCAAACACAGAAATCCTACACAAGGAGGTGCCACTTTCTTCTTTCAAAGCCTAGACTGTTACCACCTCAGCGTGATATCCTGGCCAGGACGCAGGGACTCCTGGGAGGAAGGGCAGGGGTCCTAGTACCCACAGCCTAACTTCTGGTTCTTGCTTGCCCAGAACTGAAGAGGTTGGATCTCAGGGGAAGAGGGGGCCAGCAGGCAGCCTATGGAAGTAAACTTTATGGGGAGGGCCCAGAGAATGTGAGTCATGCAGGGAGTCAGAGGGAGGCAGGAGGGAGGTGGGGTGCTTGGCACGGGGACCCGATGGGTGGGTCAGAAGAAGAAAAGGAAGAGAAGGACAGGGTGGAAGGCAGAGGAGGAGGCTGAGAGAACCCGGAGAACACCTCAGAAACAAATGGGTGCCTGCAGGCAGCATGATATCTCAATATTTGGAGGCTGGCTTTCAATAAGGAAGAGGGAGCCTGCATCCCACAGACAGCTGCCTAAGCCCTGGCCTAGATGCTCCCAGGGTGACAGCCAAGGGGGAGGGCAATCTTGGCACCAAGGAAATGGCTTCCAGAAGGAGCAGGAGATAGTGGCAGGCAAGAAGGCCAGCACCCCACCCACTGCAGACCACCCCCCCCCAAGTAACCCTGGGAGGCCCTTCTGTTTTCTTACCCCTCTCTTGCCCTCCCCTGGCTTGGCTGCTTTTTCTTTTCAGCAGCCCCAATTTGGGAAACTGAGTTCTAGAGAACTAGGGACCTAGTTTGCAGAGCAGCCAGTAGCAGAGAGCCTCAGAGCTCTTCACTCCATATTGTCTACATAGCCAGGAGCCTTTAACCCCCCGAGGTCTTGGGTACTCAAACAGTTTGGAGCTCCATCTCTTCTTGGGCCCAGCTCAGGGAGATAATTAGGGCTCAAAGCAGTTTTCTATGGAAAGGAATCAGGAGAAATCTTTTAGTTTTGAATTACTCTGAGACTCAGTGTTCTTAACTGTAATATGGGCATACTAATGAATAGTTGCCTGACTACCTAATACAGTGAAAGAGGGACAACAGAGGGGAGGCCTGGCTGCAGGCATGGTCAGGAGGGTCTGTAAGTTGGAAAAACCTGCTCACCAACCAGCTAAGATGCTAGGTTGTCCTGGGCTGGATTGCTCAAGTCAAAGCCTTTATGTCTGGGAGGGAGAGATGGAGATGTCTGGGGTAGCTCTGTTCTCTAACTCTTGTGGTTGGGCCAGCACCCAGGAGAATGATGGTGATGAAAATGGTGCTCAGGAGCCCAGGAAAAATTGAAGATACCCTTTTCTTGGGTCTGACTTGGGGTGACATGGGTGGAGCCAGGATCCAGCAGACCTCAAGGGTGGCTGAGCCTCTCCTTCCCCTATAGGCATTCCTAGGACCTATGGAAGTTACTGTCCTTGCCATGCTGTCATGGGCTGACCCAGGAGTTCCAAACTCTGAGACTAGCACATGGAGGTGCACTGGGGGTGAGGGAGGGGAGACCCCGCCTTCTCCTTCATGGTAAACAGGGCTGCAGGGCCATATTGAGTAACCCAATGGCGTAAGTCTCTGATGCAGCAATGGTCAACTCTTAGGAAATCCACGACCCTCTGCCCAGATGCCCTGGGGTGGAGAGAAACAGCATTAAGTTCAGCCCATGGGTATGAGGGGATATCTACCTAATGTCAGGGATACCCAGCAATACTAGGGAGCCCCTCTTTGAGCTGGGCTGGTTGCTCCTGTTTCTCCTCAAGTAGGACAAAGGTTCCCTGCTGGGGCCTGACCTCCCTGGGAGAGGTCGGGGGGAGGTACACTGCTGAGAAGCTGAAAGAGGCTACCTCCCTATATGCATACACATATAGGGTCTTAGGCTGGAGCTGACCGAAAGTAGGAAGAAAGGAAAGCAAAAAGGAAGGGAAGGAGGGAGGGAGAAAAGATAGACAGAAGGGCTCTTCGGTGCCCATCTGGCCTACTGGTAGTGACCCCTCTAACTAGCACTGACTAAACTCCACATACTGAGCTTGAGGCCCCAGGTTTTAGACCAAACTATTCATCCAGGAGCAGTTTGGCCTCAACAGGGGAGAATGAGCCAGGAATCAGCAATACAGCTTCCAGTGGACCCTCGGATCCCCATAGCAGCATAGGCATGCCCGACACCTTTGGGACAGCACCCTGTGTGGGAGTGGCAAAGCAAAGGACCTGGAGTGAGTGCCCTGCGTGCCAGGGCTTCCTGTACAGCTCCATTGCTTAATACTTTGGCTTTGGGAGTCAGTCAGATCTAGGTTCAAATCCCAAGATGCCCATTTACTGCTCTGTGACTTTGGGCAAGTTATTCAGCATCTCTGAGCAAGTTCCCTCATCTCTCAAGTGGGGGTGATGATAGTACCTCCCTCAGAGGGCTGCTGTGCCAAGTCAGTGCACGAACACTTAACATAGTGTCTGGCGGCGAGTGAATGCTCTATAGTATTATGCTATTTCTCGGCTTCCAGAGGCCATATGCCACTGGCTCTGCATCTGAGCTCCTTGCTGCCTATAGAGCCCTGCAGAGTAGCCAGAGCATGGGAAGTCATTGGCCGGTTTCACTGGGACTGGACTCTTTAGAATTCTGAAGGATGCACAGACTGGACCTAGCTATCTGCAGCACCTATAGGCACTTAGAGCCTGAAATGTCTGTGGGGGTGCCTGTGGATTCTCCTAAAATTCTCCAGAGATGGGGACTTTGCAACTTCAAGGCAAGTGGAGCCCAGGGTTTGCTTGACTCAATAGGGTCTTTCTCACAACTGATCTTTACATTCAGCCTATTTGCTTCGGCTGTCCATCTCCAGAGAGAAAGATAGTGGCCACCATCATGCCCAGGGATTCCGTAATGAAACTGTTCTGCTACTGATCAAGTAAGCCCAGTTCCTTTAACCTTCCTACATAAGATCTCATTCCCCCAGGGACCTGGGGTCGAGTTCTGACTTTGCAGCTCACTCATTGTGTGACCACTCCCCCGTGATGTGAGCCATGGGCAGGCTGGGTGATGTGATCTCAGTGAGGCTGCCCACTCCCTCCTGAGGGAGAGTTCTGTGATAGCGTTTCCCGAGCTTCAGTCGTTTGCTTGTCAACTTCAGGATTTCTGCAGTGTCTGCCTATCATCGTATATACTTATTTCTCCTTTAAATCTACTCGTTCTTTTACTTAATAGATTTTTAAAGGAAACTTTATATCACTGCCATAAATGAGAAGCAAGTATCACTTGCCATAAGTGGAACAAAATCATTAAAGTACATAATAGGAAGACCAAATAAGGGTATTAAATTCTAGTTGGAAACTATAGCCTGGCGAAGGCTCCAAGCCTGAAATGTGCTGTCCCTTGCAACACAAAACAAAACAAAAAAATCAAAAACAAAAGCTTAGCAAATCACAAAGATGTTGTGAAGACATATTAGCATCAAACTGGGACTTTCTCTTTGATGTAATTGAGACCGAAAGAATTGAAAAGAGACTGACTTTCTCTCTACGTAAGTCAAGGTATTTAATGCTGAAAAACTACCTGTGCTGTAGATAGTGTCAGCTCCTTTCCATCATTACAGAAGCAGACTCACCACTGTAAGGGGCATTAGCTGGTGGCGGGGGACAGTTCAGCTCTCCTGGAGGAAGGGA